TCAAGCAATTCAAAAATAGACTGAATCTTTGTATTTTTTCAGACACGCTGAAAAATCTTGTTAAATAGTCGTAAGGGCAGAGACAAAAGCGATTCGTGTAACTCGAATATTTGGTTTACACATTGAATTAACAAACCTAGTATCGATTTATTGGAATTTGACATAATATCGATAAATTTGATTACTAGTTTTCGCGTCTGACTGCGAGATACGAGTATCGAGGACATACTAAAACTTATGTAAAAAGATTCATGGTATTTAATGAGCGATATAACACAAAACGTTCACATTGATTTTTAATGGGATATATTTGAGTTTGTTGCGTTGTAGCAAATAATAATGAGCCGGACAAGGCGCCGGTCTTTGATTTGAAAAGTTGTTGTTATAATACAATACGAGATTTCAGCAATTGAAGGTCGATACCAATTAGTTAGCGTGGAAATATTCACGGAACGCACGTATGATCCAGCACATTGCCCTCTTAATGGGGCAATCAAGCCATTTGCACGAAACGAACCGAAAACAACGCTGTTTAAGATTAACAAAAATACATACGAGCCTTTTACAGAACTCTTCTATTTAAACTCAACATTGTGAGATGTCATTTCTCTTCGACAAACGATGATAATGAACTTCGAAATGCAACACGCTACAGTTTCTTTCACTTTAAACGGAATTACTTTAATTGCGTCCAAAGTTACGTTAAACTAACGTTCCTCTTTTATTCTGGAAACATAAATTGATAAAAAATTCACAAACGATAATGATTTTTCGAACGCGAAACGGTTTATTGAGGCAATCAATAACATTATCAGTCATCGAACCGAAACGGCGACACGAAGGACCTAATGTTTATTTGTTGGTTGGTGATTTAATGGTAAGATATGGACGCAATCACTTGCTAAGGAAATGTGAGGCATATATGATGATACTTTGTATCGTTGAGTCGATACAAAGTATCATCTTTCTTAAACAAAAGCAATACAAATCATACATATAGTCATGAGAATTACTAACTTCTGCCGAACAAAAACGATGAATGTTTGTGCAGTCTGTTTTATGACAAGCTGTAAATAAATTTGAAGGGCTTCCTCGTAAAAAACTCGCAGACAAATCGCGACCGTGCGTTTGAGTTATTTGAATAAACACATTAAGCGTGTATTGCCGGTTATTGCGCCGCAACAACATTTGGCTATGTTAGTCTATGTGATTGACGAGTTCTTAAGTCCGCTAAGCGAAATGCAAAAGACAATTATTTTTATTGCTCAAGTGCTGAGATGAAAAAGTTGCAGACAGCACGCGTCATTCAGTGAGTGTTTTTTTGAGCCCTGGACGTCCTTGCCAGGCGCCGTCATCGTCACGCACCGTCGTGTGCCCGCAGCTGTTTGTTTGAAAACAAACAAACGATATACGTATTATCATTGTTTAAGGGCCCCGTTTTGGCCACGCTTACGAAATGGTCAATTATCGGATACAATTACTTTAAAAATAATTTTGTTTTGAAAGACTTAAAATGCAAACAACGTTACAGGTATCACTTCAAGTTGTTATCGTTATTCAACGTGTGCAAAGTGCATTCGTATATCGCCTATCAATTTATGAAACAGTTTTATCAGTTAACGCTGATGTAGTGGAGTATATGACGTAAAGGCCCCCACGCCCTCTGAAAATTGGCGTAAACTCTTTTGCTTTTTTGCTATATAAATAAAATATGACGCTGACAAATGTATAATTCAAGTGGCATTCATTATTTGACAATCTGAAAATGTTTTTACTGAGAACGGAGCAGAGCCGGCATTTTGTGCAGCCACTTTCACCGGTATAAGCACGCTAGCCGATCACTGTAGTTGAGAGCGCAAAATGTGCGTGAGAGACTGCTCGTGAATTGTCAACTGCAATCATGTAGATATTCAATCAGACGCGCCTGGCTAACTACGTCATCGTCATTCGGCAAAAATAACCAACGTTATCACAATCGACTATAATGGCGTTTTTCTCTTTCTAACTGTCTTAGCGAGGCATTGAAGTATATTTCCACAGTGAAGGAGACAATGACATAAAAACGTCACGAAATTGCTTCAATACGTGAACCATACGACTTGGTACGACGATGATTCCATGAATGGACAAGAGTTCAAAAACACAACGTTTAGACAATGGACTATTGAAAAAACTCGAGGAATCTTTAGTTACACGTAATAAAATAACGGGAGTTGGCATACCGACGTGATTTACACTATCTCTCGATGACTGAAGTGTGTTAATAACTCTATTCTCATACACATTATTTTTTGTCTGATGCTATCCCAACTGTACTTTTTGAAAACTGAATAATTATGTTACAACAATACTTGTCAGTTCACCAATACATGGGGGTGTTGAAAGAATCACATCACTATAATGAAATAAATAAATATTATTGGTTTATTATCTACGGCTGAATTGAAAATAGATACGCGCAATTAGCAATCGGTAGAGAATGATGCATATGATCAGGAGCGAGTAGAAGGCTCAGGTTTCACGGCCTTCGGTTCACGGTTCGATTACCAGCGACGCCGGTGATGTCTGCGCTGACGCCGGTTGGAAGTTCTTGTGGCTTGTCACGACGCGCATACTTTAAGTTACGATTGCTGATACGTTCTAGGGTAATTTTCAAGTCTTCTCTACCTGATTTCGGTGGCAGTTTCTATTAGGTATTTAAATATTGGAGAATATAACATGAAATAATACTTAATATTTTTTCAAGATGATTCACTCGTATACTTAAATAATAAAAATTGCCACCAAAATAAGATAAACTAACCTGAAAATTTCCTTCCACAGTTAAGGAAAAATTGCCTCTGCAGCCGAACGGTTACCATGCTGTCTGCCACGCAGAGACTCCGAGTTCGATTCCCGGGCCAAGAAAAATATTTGTAAGGCCATCATTTGTTCCTCTTGTGAGTTTGGGTGTAATTTGTGGTTTTATATGTGTGTGTCCTTAGCACCCGCAATACAGGGTTTCCCTGATGAGGGGCTATGAGTGTGTGAGTTATTTAATTATTTATACGTCATTTTTCAGAATTTTGTCATATATATTTTTTTAACGACTACATTAACCACAGTTGTTAATATTTTGATAGACAACTAAACAAAATTATGAGTCGTGTTTAGTTGCGTAAGTAGTATTTAACAGGTAGCTTATTAGTTCTCATTTACACTGGGCTGCAACACGATGATCACGAACTTAGAATGCCATAACTGCTATCTGACAACAGAATTAACACTGTTGCACAATAAGCGTTAAAATCACTCAAACTGTCAAACTTGCGAAAAAAATATCTGAACATTTGATCAAAATTAACTTACTAAACAATGACAATGCAATACAATAAACCTATAACTGTTTTTCTAAAATAAAAATGATCTCAAAAATTGGCGGAATTACATCTATTTGACAAATTTTATTGAAACCGGTTAACGGAAAATGGATGAAACCCAATAAACAGGTTTATATATTTATTCATCCCCTAATTTGCCACCTTAGAAGTGGAATATTTTTTTCAAATTTGTACGGGACCATTACACCAACAAAAAAGAATCATTGATATCGGTTCCCCAATGTCGGAGTAATCGCTTAACACACCCACAAAAAAAAAAGAAGAAAATACAGTCAAATTGAGGACCTCTTGTTTTTTTGAATTCGGTTAAAAATGCACCTTTGAAACGAGTCAGAAAACAATTGAATCATTTTGATGATACGGTATAAGTGAAATCACGCAGTGATATAGTTTGAGGAAAGGCCGGCGACGAAAAAGAATGGCCAGCACTTTTTACGGCCCGTAGATTAGGTGCGTCGTGTGTGAGTCACCGGACGGCATACCGGCGCGCACCATGCACCGTACGTGTCAACCACCTATTTATGTCGCAGGACGAAGCGCAAATAAACAGCATCAAAGGGACGTTGGATTCCGCACGCCACGAGTCTCGGACGAATGCGACGAAAACAACCGCCATTGTCTACGGATGAGATATTTTCACAAATAGTGTATCTATTACCGATCCGTCGCGGTCGTATGCGACAGCTATTGGCGTACCGTCGCTGTCTAGTACGACTTGTTAAGATACCTACAATTCGCATTTCAGGAATAAAATAAAACGTTCGGTTTTCTCCAAAAAGAGAAAACAATGGATAGTAACAATTAACAAATTTCATTCTCTGCTTTCAGCGTATTAACTAAATTCTTCTAGAAAAATAACCATTAACTTAGAATTATCCCCTTGATAATTCTTTAAATACATTCCTAATAGTGAAATGGTAACAAATTGATTTTAACTAGGATTATTTAGATTGACCATAAGATTTCTAGTAAAAATATCCAGGGTTTGAAGTGATAATTATCACAATAATTATATTTAGTAAATAAAATATTAATTGGAAAATAAAACGCTACCGTTAGCAATGTAGCGCCATGCATATCTGAACGCGATTTGCCAGACTTATCCAAATGCGTCAAAAGACAAACTCAAAAAAAAGTTTTCCTTTCGTAAAGAATATTTTCAAAACTTTTCCACCCATTTAGTTATTGTTTACTTTCGAACTTCAAATAATAAAACAATAGAAAATTATTATACATAATATTTTGCATCATATCTTAGTATCTTAGTTTTCAGTGAAAACTAAAGAGACAAAACTAAAAATTAGCATGGATATTTATCAGATAATTAAGTTGATAATTTGGAACCCTGAAAATATATATTTAACACTTGTTCAAAGTTAAAGCACATGAAATTAAAAGTTTGCCTTTATTGTATACAAATGCATAACTTATATGAAAACAGTTGCCTACTTACCAGTGACTATTATACACCATTTATTTTACAATGCTTGGCATGTAAATTATGGTTATAAGTACCACTAACTTTATTAAACTACATTGTTGTATATTGATACCACAATTCAAATTTCAAAATTAGTAATACTAATTTAATCTGAAAGAATAAGCAGAAGCGTTTGTTACCTTTCATCTTCAGGAGGTTGGGCGGGCTGCGGCTCCTCCTTGCCGTCGCCAGTGTCACCAGCTTGTAGGGTGTCAGAAGGCACCTCCGAAGCACCACTATCACAGGCATTCACATTCACATTGCTCACTGCTGAGCCACTAATGGCATGAGCCACCACTGCACTGACCGGACTACCGAAGCTCTGGCTGTCATGTCCAGGCTGAGCCGTGTTTGCCACATAAGGCGTTGAGTTAACTGGCAAAGACACTACTGGAGAATTAGTCCCCGAAACTGTCGCCTCAGGTGCAACGCTACTTTGGGACATCACGGGTATAACTCCACCATAGCCAATTCCCATACTTGTTTGAGATGGTACCACATTTGCATGAACTCCACCGCCCATCCCAACTGGCATGCTCTGCTGCATCGACATCGGAATGTTCTGGTGTGCCATCGACACTTGTGGCACTGCTTGATTAGGCACGTATTGCACCCCTCCCATTTGGCCTTGACCGCTTACTTGCTGCGTCATCATATTCTGTTGAGCCATATGTTGGTTAACAGGCATTTGCTGTCCGACATTAGCTTGCTGCATGTAAATAGGATCTGCGGTGGGTATCTGCATACTAGCCTGATTCCCATCTAGAGTCATCTGCATATTTTGAGGGGCAGACATCATTTGAATATTTCCCTGAGGTACATTTCCTTGCTGTGGAGCCATTGAGTGCACTGCAGGGGCCTGTTGCTGGCTCAGGCTTGGGAGATTCGCGGGTAATGTAGAACCCTGTGGCTGACTGGCTAAAGGTTGAAGATTAGAAGGCAAGGTTGCACCTTGCTGTGATGTAACAATACTTGAAAGCACCTCCTGTGGTAGGGTTTGCCCCTGAGTTAAGGGTTGGCCTTGCTGGCTCATCTGTGAAGGTTGAGTATGGTACTGGACTGTGTGTTGTGGCTGTACCATTTGTTGTTGTGAAGATGGAATATTAGTGCTGATCATTTGCTGTTGAGTAGGTTGCTGGTTAACAGCTTGATTATACTGCGGTTGCATACTCTGCTGTTGCATTTGTGGATGCATCCCAGTGACTACAGATTGCTGTGGCTGTGACGGCAGCTGATGCATCTGGGGTTGCATTTGAGGGATCTGCTGATTAGCTCCAGTTAGTTGCGTAGGCATCTGCATTTGCTGTATATGGTTTGGTATCTGTTGATTCTGTAAAGCTTGAATCTGGGCCTGACTAGGCAAATGCTGCAGTTGAGGCTGTTGCGCTGTCATTGGCTGCTGTCCTTGAAGATGATGACCTTGACCCATATTGGGAATCTGAGCTTGCTGTATTTGATGTAGCTGCTGATGGTTTGGTTGTCCTTGCATCTGTTGCATTTGCATTTGTTGCATCTGGGGTTGTTGCCCAGCAACTTGAGGGATTTGTCCCTGATTCGGTATACCCTGCATTTGAGGCATCTGCTGTTGCATTTGTTGCATATTAGGCATTTGAGTTTGAGGCAGGTGCTGACTAATTTGTTGCATCTGTTGGTTAGGTATTTGTTGCATCTGCTGTGGCATTTGCTGGTGCATTGGAATTTGTTGCATAGCAATACCCTGTGACTGGGCAATGACCTGCTGGAGCTGGTGTTGAGGAAAACTCTGAGGTATTTGCTGCACCTGCTGCTGTTGAGGAGGTTGACCATGGCTTTGCGCTGCATTTTGCATAGTGATGTGTGTCATACTCTGTGCAACCTGCTGATTGGTTTGCATATTTTGGTTTGGCATCTGCTGTGGCATTTCCAAGGGCGGAGATTGTACAGATACTGACTGAGTAACAGGCATCTGTTGTTGCACTACATTAATAGGCTGGGTTAGTGATTGCCCAGGGGAAGCCATAGGAAATTGTTGATGCAAATTTTGATCCAGCTGCTGCACATTTGGTGTATTTCCTTGCACATCTTTAGGCCCTTTATTTGTCAGATCATTACAGACATCATCATGTTGACTGTCATTTATCACTACACCACTGTCCGGAGCTTGTAAGGCATTTGATTCAGTGACATCTAAATTATTGTTCAAAGGGATTGTTGAGTTTGGTTGTGTGGTGGTATGATCCAAATAATCCATACAAATCCATCTACCCCTGCGAAACGGTTCCGTACTTTCTATTTTCACAACTTTAAAACGTTCATTCCTAACATGCTCTTGTATTTCTTTCATACCTTCTTGCGGTTTAGCATTTCCTATGAGATTGATAATGCTACCCGTTCCGGCGTTCGTAACACTGACATGCATGTCACTCAATTCCGAATTATTACTATTTGGCACTGCTCCTCCTAACTGGTTAGCGGCGGTGTCCTGACCGACGATTGCGAGCCCGTACTGCGAGCTGGTTGGGATGACGGGGGCACAGCCTAGCGAAGCGCTCGATGCGTTGTAAAACACATCGTCTTTCGAGAAGGTATCTTCTGAATAACTAGGTGTCTCATTCTCTACATCCGTCACCCTCGAGATGTCATCGGTGTGAGATTCGTCTAGATCGTCGGCAGAATCCTCGCCAGCATCAGTGCTAACTCGAGAGCCGTCCCGTCCCGTCTCACTGACACTGGTGATCTGAAACGAAGATATTTTCCTTGGGTTATGGGCAGCTTGGAGACTCATCGGGTGAGTCACTCCCTTGTCCGACTCGTTCAGTCGAAGAGATTCACTTGTTGTGCGGTGAACGACGTTGTTATACTTGTTTTTCTCACTAGTTTTATGTGACTTTTGAATCAGATTGTCAGCCATTATGCCGTCCGAATCGAATGACTATCTAAAGAAAATTTCACTGTTTATTAGCTTCAGAGACATTTGACAGACTTTTCAATCACAAGAACATATGATATATAAAACCATTGTACACTCACAATTTCACAATCACAATAATTTAACTATTTAAAGTCTTAAAATTCATTAGTAAACACACAGAGTTGCGAACATCTATCAGACGGCAGCAACATGGCGGCCATTTATGCGCAATGCATTATGGTTGACAATTTGCACCGACATAGACATTCTAGAGTTTTATGAAATAGTTTGATAAATCGCCAGTAGATGGCAACAACCCACAAATTCATAAAGGGACATTGTGAAAGCGTGATGAAAATTTAAAAAAGAACAATACTTATTTAATCATTGGGTTGGAAAATAAATAAATGTAACATTCCAAATTTACTAATATGTATCAGTTTTTTTTTGTTTCATCAAAATACAAATGTTAAATTTGACATTCGTACATTGTACATTTTCATTTTCAATATATTTTTCCATCGTTTTTAACCATTTGGTTGTACCTATCAATTTCGGAGTAATTTAAAATTATGTATGTTGACAATAATTATAAACTTATATTGAACCTTAGTCGAACTATACTCATTTACATTAATATGTTGACTTGATTTTGCTACTCCCCTATAGATGGCAGTAGAAACGGCGAGCAAGTCTGTTGCAAAATGTTTTATTAAGTAGAATGTAGATGGCGTTCTCTATAATTTATTTATTATTTAAGTAATAAACACTGAATAAGAATAAGAATAAGAATAATAATAAGAAAAAATTTTTGTGTTCGCCGAGGCACATGACATGAATGAGCTTAAAAACTACAATATTATAACATTTTAAACTTAAAACTATAACAAATAGACAAAAGAAAAGTAATTTGCATACAAATGCAATTGACTTTTGATAATCTGAACTCGATACTGACTTTCCCTGTTTATTATTACATTTTGCTTTAGATTATTACATAATACAATCATGGTCTTGTCCAGTAACTCCGGTGTAGATATAGTCGAATAGATAGATTATTAATCTAACCATATGCGACGAAACATAGGCAAAATACTTCTGTATTTACTAGATACTAGTTATTGTATATTTTAGTCGTATCCAAGATATCGTTTAGGATAATAGTTACATAGCAAATACCTGAGTACCTATTAAAATATTCAAGAAATATGTGATCTCCTCACATCAACTGAAAGACCTAAGCTATGTTTATGATAGGTAATGCATGCAAAGCACAAACACATTTTGTTAGTAAAGCAGTTAAGTAGGTACGTTTTTGATCTACATTGTTAGGATGCTATAAATATTTTAGTTAATCATAATAGTTTTTCTTTCTATGTAATTACGTATCAATCTAAATAAGTACTTCAGGGCGAGTATGGTACGTAGAATATTTCAGTAGGTAACGTTACTTGGACATGCTACTATAATTTAAAACGAATTAACTATGTACATTAAATAATACCTGCAATAAACTTTATTTGCAAAGTACTTACATACGTAGAGAGCAAACTGAGAGAAGGCACCTAGCTCCTCGGAAGCTGTCGACTAATTCGCAACTCGCGCCTTCTGATCGGGAACTAAGTCGCAGATCCGCGCTCGACCCCGGGCTATTACCCACAAGGTCTTCGCCAGCCGATTTACCATCCCCACCAATCGCCGTGACACTTCTTAAACGAAGGTAATTTGCTATTATTTGTAAATTGGTGTCCCGACGTCCCGTTCGTAATCCCGCTCAGTCGCTCGGGAGCTCGGGTCCCAGACCCTCTCTGACTCTTCCGTCGGCTCCGACCACGATCCATAAACAAATAATCGTCACCGTCAGCATTTGCCGCCGATCCGAGCGCCATTCGATAAGATACAGCCCGCGAACAAACATCCCAACATGGAATGGTGAATGTGTAAAATGGCCAAGTCTTTAGATGACGTTTCGAAAAAAAACAGTGAGGACGACACGACAATGGACGGTGACAGCGAAGAGCCGCAACGTTGGTTGCGCATCAATCCGAACCTGATCATGTTGAAAGTGACACTGTTTGTGATGTACGGAGCCACTGCTTCTCTTTTGCCCTATCTTACCATTCACATGCAGAGTATAGGATTGACAGTGCCTGAAATTTCCTTTGTGTATCTCGCTTTGCCCTTTACAACCTTTCTAAGTCCGCCGATTACTGGTAAGTCTTGACCAAGGTAACTATACCCAATTAGTTGATAGACTAAATAAAATATACATTTCTACGAAGTGGATTTCGCAAAAAAATATTTTTTGCAGTTTTCTAAATGAAACTATTACTTATACAAGCACGAATTATTTATATATAGGTAAGTACCTAATTCACTATGTGTAAATGTGACTAAATAAATGCTTTACTTATCTACATGAAGTCACACTTGCACAATAAGTTTGTTGTATTATGATTTATCGTCGTATGTGAGTTTCATAACGTACTCAAGGCATTAATGCAATAAGTATATCGAAAAATAGTGTCAAGTCTTTAAGGGTTCCTGACTTATGTTTTAGGATTCCTAGTGGACCGCTTCGGTGAATACAAACCTGTTGTGATAACAGCGTTAATATTAAATGCAGCGTTTCATCATTCGTTACTACTCATTCCACATCAAGAGACTCCTGGAGTCATGCCGTCAGCTTACGTCATGCAACACCCGATTACCGGAGATGTCGAGGTAAACCGAGTATCATTTCTGAAGCGCTTTTTTATGGGATCTAAAATTAAAACCACCTTTTCTACTATAGTAGACACGTTTTTATTTTTAGATTAATTAATAATTTAGTACTAAAACGTGTGACAGATATGCCATTATAAATTTCTTTGAAGTAATGAAATTTCTCAACGATTACCTATGTAATAAAGTCATCAAGTCATGTATATAGTAAAGTCATATGTATGAAAAGTAGGTTTAGCAGAGTTCCCTTTGAAACCTTTTATTAGTTTCAATGGAATCTGTACAATGCAGGGCACAAAATATCCAACAGCTCGGCAAGGTATACTGTACCTATATATACCTATAGCGTAAACAATGAAGCAGTGATCACAAACCTTTTTCGTCAGACAACGAATTACACTAAAGGAAAAGATCACGATAATTGATGATAAATTACATATACAAAATTACACGATAATAATATAGATATTTAATTTAAAAAAACCGTTTTATGCCTGTGACCTGTGAAAGCAAATAGCAAATTTTTGAAATAGATCAAGAATGTAAAGAAGTTTTCACTTAATCTTTTAGTACTACGAGTTAAAGAAACGCAATGATTATACAAATTTAGTGAATGTTTGAGAATTTCGTTTCACGGTGCTTATTAAATTGCATTGCTTCCAAAATATTAGAATGAAATGGCGCCTTATAAAAGACCCAAAATTTCCTTACTTAAACTTGTTATTACAACTATTCCCTCAATCTTTAATTCATAGGTAAGTATATTACACTTGAAATCGTCACATCGATTAAACTCAATCTACTGCTCATTCGTAAAGCAGATTTCCTTGAGAAGAATGAGCAAGAAACTCCAGGGGTAGCTGCTCTTTGTAACATTTGTACATATTTATCATTTAAAATATTTATTTCAACATAGTAGATCGTACCTGTAACAGCTAAACGGGTCACTACCCTTTTTTCCTATGTCTCTGGTCACTACTACAATAGGATTTTTGTCATCTAAGTACGCAGAAGCTGTTTAAATAACCTTTAGTATAAAGGTTTTGTATCACTATAGTTCTAAGTCTCGTAAATGTCAAATCATGAATAGGTATGAACAGGAATCTTATAATGGAAGCGTATACATTGCCCCTTAGATGAATTTGTAATTTCGTGAAGAAGACTATCAAGAACAGCCAGGTTTTCTATCTGTCTCTATTTTTTATAAATAAATTACTGTTCTTCTTAGCACAAATCACATTTTCATAAAGTACTTACTGTGACGCTAATGTAAGAATATTAATTCAAAGATACTCTGGGGCCTTTTATCTAATACTATGGGATGAACAAGTCGTGTGCCTCATGGCAAGCTGCACGCCTGTCAAACAATTCCAGTGACACTCAGAGCTTTAAATCGCAAAGATCTTACTTAGGGGCACTGCCATTGCGCCCGTTATCCTGAGACATAAGTTGACAAGTTCCATGTGCCTGTATTTTCACCAGCACCCTCACCCTTCCAAACCGGAACGCAGTAATGCTCACTTTACTGCTTGGCGGTAGAAATACATAAGGTGGCAGTATTTCCCTGGACGAACACTTTTACAAGGAGCCCTACTTGCTACTAAAGCAGTAGTAGTAGGTATATTATACGACGAATATCCTAATTTTGAGTTTTAAAATTGACTGTTCTAATGTAGAGTAAGAATTTGAGCAAATCGTCCACATCCCGCTCCAGGTTACATTACCATTGTCATAATGTCCATAAATTTGAATCAGGCAATGAGATTACATGAAAATTATTCATGATCTTACCTTAAAATTAAGTGTCTTGTAACGCCCCATCGTTTAAGCCCTTATGTTATTGTTGGTCTATATTTATTGGATATTGTTTGTACCGGTCACACGTCGAGATGGTCAAGGTCCTTAGATGAAAATAAATGGCATAATAGCATTCTGAATCCCCTCCCGATGAAACATACGCGATGGACATTGTTAATTTTGGATTGACATAGTTAAGACTTGAGGCAAAAAAGGGCAGATAACTGTAGTTGAACACCGATTTAAAAAACTTAACTTTGTAATTTGACTACAGATATATTTTAAGTAATGTTGGGAGACTCTACACTTTTCGTTCATAAATTCAGAGTATTTAGAGTATTATTTGGTTTCCTCACTGTTTGTCATTTTGACAAACAGTAAGAAAACTAAACAAATACGAAAAAAGGGAAAACGATTAGGTTTGTGGCTTTTTTGAGATTGGCATTTGACATGTTTGGACACGTTTCGGATGCAAACACGTTTAGTTGGTCTAATTAATTTTATAAATATCAAGACAATTTATCGTGATAATTGCCATGATTAGCCAGCTCTCTAATAATTATTGAATTTTGACAAATTCATACGTGAGTTTGACAGTTGACATTAGAGCTACTCCTTTTAAAAGGTAAAACTGATACTAAGCAACATTTAAGTTTCATACATATATCTAATCGAATACTATTATAATGTTTGTAAACAGGCATACCAGTATGTGTACGTACGTAACTGAGGCGTAGCTTGGGTTGCGTAGCGAGAGGTACTTTTATGAATTTAAACTGGAATAATCTTAAAAATATACTTTATTGCACCGTTTTACATACTTTCGGCGTTGGGTTATAATTCGTTATATCAAGATGCTCTATTCTTTTCTTACTTCATTTTTCAAACATTCTAATTACAAAACTATTCATTCAGCCAGTGATTCTACTCATAGAGTAGAGCCTAGACTACAGTACTATAATTTTGGTTACGAATTTACGAGGAGTTGCTGGTGAGAGTAAACCCCAGGGGGTCTATATAGACAATTTTGGGAATCATTGATATAATAATATACGTATGTACGTACGTAATATTTAAATTTTAAAGTTGTGTTCTTATTTATTATAATAAACCAACGGCCGGGAAAAGCAAATTTATCAAAACTAAATTATAAATATTAAATATTAAAAAAAGGGAACAAATGCAAATGCAGTGGATTTTTAATTTAAAAAAAAAAATAGTAGGGAAAATCATAACCAGTTATGTTTTTTATTAACGACTACAAAACTTTTCTTTTATGTAACATACCATAAAAAATATAACAAATTATAATACAAGGACTCTGGAATTTCAGAGGGCGGTATTATCTGTAGGTATGTGTTATTTTTGTATTACTTCCTTGGCATTTTGGTAAATATACTCTGTCTATTTTAACATGACCCTACGTCCCGCTTTAAACCGGATCAAAATGCTTAACAATGTCCCGAGTTAACAAAACAGGACATTCGTGAAAATAACTATAATAAAAAACCGACCTCGTCGAAGTTCGTGGAATTACATCTATTTGCTAAGTTTTATTGAAATCGGTTACCGGAAAGTGTGCGAAACCGGATTCATCCTCTAGTTTACCACCCTTAAAGGTGGAACATTTTCTTTAAATTTGAAGACCACTCAGTAGTGGTCCCAGTGGTACCTCGTAGGTACCTACAAGGTCTTTCCAGTACAAAAAGAATCATCAATATCGGTTCACAAATGCGGGGTTAACATATAAAAAAATCATACAGCCGAATTGGAAAACTCCCTCTTTTTTGAAGTCGGTTAAAAAAATGGCGCGACAGCTAAAAATATTGATTGCCTGCCCACCAAACTACACAAGATTAGTTATTTTTTAATTGTTGATCATTAAATATGATCGTTTCCTATGTGCAACAATCGAGATTAATTTTGATTATTCTTTTTTCATTTTTAAAACATTTGTATTTTATTTTTAAAACAATAATAAATCTACAGGCGTCCCGCTCTAAGGGCAAAAATAATGATCCCGTTAGCCTATTTCTATCTTTGATCATAACGAACCGAGAATACACCGAGTGCGCGGATCTATATAGTAACTAGTCTTTACCATTGTTTCATTTAATTCAAAATGATTGTGAAATTGTAATTATTTGTTTAATGTTCGTTATTTTCGTATTTATCTAGATATGGTGGAGTCCCTGTCCAAGCCGCGAATGTCCCGACGAAGATGAGCAAATGGACTTCATCCTGGACAGATGCGTGGACCACTGCGAGTCCAGATCTACTGAGAAGCCAACCAGTGACCCTGATGACGACATCGATGATATCGACGTACATATTTTTCAAAAAATTAAGCCTCCCAATTTGTCTAACGTTAGGTGAGTATATTGTAAAAAATGTTATATGTCAACTTGGCGTCGTGCAATATGGCGACACGACTTGTGCCTGGGTCTTGAAGGATAATAATAGGATTAGTGAAACTGAAATATAGAAGAAATAAAGTTTCTCTAAGATTTTGGGTTAGAAGAATAACACATGAAGGGGGTGTATTGTAATAAAACTTATGACTTTTATCTCATAAATGTTGATAGTGGTACGATTTGTCAGATAGATACCTGCTATTTTCAATGCGTCTATGTAAATATGTACATAGACATAGATGTACGTCACTTACACGTTAATTACTGGGAATTTAATCATAATTAAAGCTTTTGCCAACTCTACAACAGTTATCAATTTACGACGTCGTTTTCTTGCATCGGTCAATATATATTTCGTTTAAATAATTATCTACTCACGAAACTTACGTCACAAAGCTTCAGCCCCTGCAATGAATAAAAACGAAATACAAGTATTTACTAATAATAACAAAGCAAAGAGTTCCTTTTCTAAAAACTCAAATAACAATGATAATGAAAATCTGTGTACATAAACGAAAGATTATATTCATTGCAAATTTTTATGACCGCTAAGCTTTACAATCCATTTTAAACAAAGATACCATGCGTTGTTTTCTTTCCAACGAATGTGATGTCTCTATTATATTTTTATAAGTTAAGTTAGATTACTGACTTACTCACTTCTCTAGAGCTCTGATATTTTTGATTTCCGTATTCACTAGTTTGTTCTCTTTAGATGAAAATTAGTACTTCTATATTTTTTCATAACGTGTATTATTGATCATATACTTCAAATCTTATGCCACTCCGGTGATTGAATTCCTACAATGTGCACCTAAGCACTTACAAATAGATCTTACATATCTTACACGAAGTTACAAAACTTTACGCGACTATAACAATATGAATTTCAGTTTCCCGATAGAAGTCGAAGAAGAATACAATGATGCTGCATTCTTTCAAGTTGAAGTTCACGATGATTTAGAAGATCCCAAAGAGCAACTTGGTATTGAAATGGAAAGAGTAAGTTTAAACGTAGCAATTCATTCTTGCTTCAAAGATGCAACGGTTGAGGAGCTTTATAGTTTTTAAAATTGCGATTTAAAAAAGCATCCAATTTTATACCTCTTGTATGTACTACTAAACCCGTTATTTACCGAAGAGGAATGGCGAGAAAGATTGTTTCAACAGCCCGTGGTATTGTCTTATTTGAACTATGAGAACTAAGTGGTGTGCCGACGGCGTCAAAACAACGTTGTTAAAACACAGCTCTCCTCCGTTTTTTCTCCTAGAGTCTTCTCAGGATCCATTCCTTCTACGGTAGGTCAACCGCTGCGAACCACTTTACAGGCTGCTGATGTCACACTTCATCGAAGAATTTAGAATGTTTTGAAGCGTGAGTAATTTTTAATTAAACCCTATTTTGTGCAGGATGATAACGAAACGTTCACAGACTTCAAATCAAGATTTGGCGAACATGTGCTTCAAAGTCAAGGTGTAAATATAACAGCTCTTGAGAAGGAGGATTTGCGTTGCGGTGGCCTCGTCAGATATCACAACATGACGTACTTATCTCGAGAACGTTTGAAGACTTTGTCTTCAGACTGTATGGTTCAGAAATGTGAATTTAGGTAAGCGATCACTGATAGTACCTAGTGAAAAAGTCAGATAGCAATGAGAAAAATTCTCTAAATAAATCAGTGTTTCGGTCTTAGGTCAGTGAAGGTAAAACTTTGGTTTAGGTACCAATTACGTGAACTTCTGTGAGGCTTATCTGAACTTTACAATAATAGACTACTTAGGCAAGATGATAATAGTGTTATACATGAAAGACGAAGACAAGTAAAGTTTAGTGAATCATTTTATTATTCACTGAAGTATAAACACTTAATTTGTTATGAAATAAGTCGTTTACAGAAGATGACGCATGTCTTAAAAGTAATACTTGTTACAGACGTGGAGGTCCCGATATTTGTCCACCAGATTACAAAGAAAGTGACGACAAAACATTCTACATTTATTTTTTCTTGAGATTCTTGGGCACTATTATGTTATCTGCTGGAGTAACAATCATGGATCCTATAGCCCTAACAATGATACAAAAGTACGGAGGGGATTTTGGTCGAGAACGTTTATTTTCAAGCATAGGGATGGCGATATTTTCTCCTATAACTGGCATGCTCATAGATATGAGGAGTAAACAAGTCGGTATGTACCTGAAATCGTTATCGTTAATGTCAATATGCTACAAGATGTTTACACCTATTGTTGATTGTAGGGTACACCGACTACTCGGCTGCATTTTACACATATGACGTCCTTCTTCTGGTGTCCGCTATCACTGTTGCTGTGATGCCTTTGGGAGCCAAATTACCCGCGGACAATCTACTCCATGACTTAGTAAACATCATCAAGATGCCCCACATAATTATCTTCATATTTTTCCTCTTCGCCTTGGGAAATTTTTGGGGATTCATCGAATCTTATCTCTTCCTGTATTTGAAGGAATTAGGGGCGCCTAATTTCTTATTGGGTAAGTAAGGAAGTCAATATTTACATGTTTGGCTTTCTACGGCATTTGTTATGGCCCTGATGAATTATAAACTATTTATTGATTCAGTTTGGTTTCTCTTAAATAGTTGTAAAAAAAATTATGCTCTTACCCAAGTTATGAAACGGGATATTATATTTAGAAACAGGAGCATTTATGAAATCTGAGTGTAAGTACCTAGTTTTGTTTAGTGTTGAAACAATGTTTTGTTTAGTGTTGAATGCAACCAGTATGACAAGAGGAGGCATGGCAGATAAACCAATCTTTGGTCATAGATATAATATGCTCAAAGGAAACGAAGTTCAGGCGTAAATGAGAAGTTAAATTTAAATTTTCAAACACAACTGTTTTGCATTACTTTTTCGAAAAGGAGAAGAGTGCTTCAGATGTCTTGAAGCTACAATGAATTTAGTTGCATCTCCGTGCAGTAATTTTATAATCTGAGAAAATTCATCCTTCAGTTACTCCCTCATGTCATTTATAACGTTGTTGTTAACTGCAACCAATGTATAGGAATAACCGTGACCGTGGGCACGCTGTCGAGCATCCCGTTCCTGTACGGAGCAGATGCCATCACCGCCCGCATAGGTCATGTAAACGTCATCATCGTCGCGTTCTTCTCCCACGCAGCCAGACTTGTTGGATATTCCTTTATCGAGTAAGTTATATTAGGACATTTTATTGCAATGTTTATTTTTCTGCAGTTAAATAAGAACATTTATGGGCGTCGTCATGACGCAGTGTTAACCTTCGTTTTATTGAAAAGGGTTTCGATGTTTTTATATAGTCAACTCCACTTGATAAGAAGTGGTTACTGTTGTGTACATAATAATATAGACATTTGCAATACTTAGTAAGGATGCTCTCTATTAAGGATAATATCGCAAATGCGTTGCCGGCCGTGGCCCACTCAATCTTAAGTCAGCTGTGCCTGTGATTACGCTGGCTTTCTTTATTCTTCAACTCGAAACATGCCGTAAGAGTTGAAGAATATATATTATTATGATATCAGTCAAAACAGTCAATAGTGTCTAAGGCAAAATGGTATCGTGGTTGCGTACGTTACGTATGCTTATCAAGTAGACCGAAGAGTTGGGCCTCAAATTCATTGCTCTAGGTATATTTAAAGTTATGTCTTTTAGGTATAAAGTTCACTTTCTTACTGTAAATCTGGTAGTCCCCTAACGTATTTGGGTAATTCTCAGCCTAGTGTTCGCTACCTAATATCCGTGGCAATTTTTATTTGTATTTTTTACAGTGCAATATTGTTTAATATTTGAGTTCGGTATTGTGAAATATTATTTAATAACTACACGACTTCAATATTTAAATAATTGGCACGGAAATTAGGTAGTGAACACTAAACCTAGAATGATCGATTTATTACGGAACACGGGAAAGTAATTGAAATATCTCTCTATATCTATTGAAGCTGATTTTTCCGAAGATTAAGTACATGATTTTTTTAATCGAGTAAAGTTTAGTCAATCATATTTCGGGCCCCATAGTTCACTAGCGGTATCTTATGTTTGTATTATCAATACAAAAAAAACTAGTTAAATTCTTATTTTCTAACGTCGAAACCCGATTTTCCGTGTAGTCGAAATACACCAAAACGACTACTTGGGTCTCACTTTACCTATGACTTTTATACACTTCTTCTTCTTATTGTATTAATGACATACGCTATAAAGTTTGTACACTATAATGCTTGCCATCGTGGTGAATCGTGGTGGCCCGTGATGGCGCGTGATGGTCCGTGGTGGCGCGTGGAAAAAGCGGCCGTGATACTTATTTTTGATTGTTGCCCGGGGTGATATTGTGATATAATCTGTACGATAAAGAAGGTTCAAGGCTTGAAATACGCGTGAAGTCCACAGCTAAGATATGTAAATTTGCTGATCACTAGTTTCCGTTACGTATTCAATGATAAGTGCTCATACTTAGGGTTTTTCAAACAATAATTTCCTTAGGGTCTTACAGGATAAGGAGTTTCGTACTCACTCAACACATTATCAACATCAAACACATGTTTCCTTTACATTAAAAGCCCATTTACAGTATTTACGTCAATAAAGCATTGTCAAGTTTATGAGCACAACTATGGTGTGGGCGGGTTTAGCTGTGCAAACACTTTACGTTATTTTACTGTGAAATTACGGGCAATCACGTGTTATATGCGTAACAATGTAAGTCACTAAACCGACACGTGTCGATAGCGTTTTTCATTTTCACAAATCAACACACTAAAGTAGTCCTTTCTTTGAAAGTCGTGTTTATCCTTTTTCGTCGAAGAACAAATTTTTGCTCTAAATGCGTAATGATTTTTTATTCCTTGTCTACATAAAACGTCTTTAGTGGAGTCCAAAGATCTGATCTAGAAACGTAAATTGAATTAGTTTACATTTGCGATTATCAACCGTAAGGTTCTGTAATCTGTGGTAAGGTAGATCACCGAAATCCTTCGTCAAAATCTTTTACAGAAATATGTTTAATTTTCAGAAACTCTTGGTGGTGTTTCCCGTTCGAAGCTATGGAATCATTATCGGTGCATCTAATGTGGGTAGCGGCAGCAACGTACTGTGCTATGTTGGCTCCTAAGAGTCTACTTGCCACACTGATTGGGGTTCTGGGAATGGCACATTTCAGTCTTGGTAAGGAATGATTATATTGATCATGAATGTCATCTTGACTGCGTTTATGTGCTTTACCTATGTAATTTAACTCATGTTCCACGTGTTCCTTGGTTTGACCACGTGAAAATAAAGCAGGATTCAAATTGTCAGCACTCATAGGCTTAGATCCGGATACTTTATAAACAAACAAATTTTTGTGTTTGGTGACGAGAGTGAATTCTTCAAATTGCGAAGTGTGTGGATTTCTCAAGAATGTATGTTATTTGCTCGTGGAGTGTGTCCGGACGGAATGTATCAGAGTGCGGTTATCTGCACATTTAACATTCGGTGATTTAAATCGGTTTTGTCTGAGCCAACAAGTACCTAGTAGTTTTGGTTAGGTAGTATTTTGATTTATTGATTTGGATTCTATTATTTAAGTGTTTTCTTGACGTATTGTTTTTTTGATGGGGTTGACATGTTCAATACTGATTAAAGCCCCTAAACAAAAAAAAAAATAAAAAAATAATTTTGATTCTGCTGTTGAATGTGAGATCACAGTATTACAGATATATACTACTAGTACTCAATGTGAAGTTTGGATTTTCAGGGCGAGGTAGCGGTAGTTTTGGCGGAGGTCTCCTCATTGCTTCCCTCGGGACCAGAGAGGCATTTCGTTATATGGGCTTAATAGCATTCCTTGGTGGAGTACTGTATGGATTACTGCATTATTTCTGGCTGCGCAAGATTACTATGTCCGATATGGATTTTAATAATTGTACAGAACAGTACGCAGGTAATATTGTAGAGGTATTTCAATAAGTCGCATTCATGGTGTAATAAAACCATATCTGTGAAATGTCGAGTAATTTTTTGAAGTATAATAATTACATGTCTAAATCTTCAATAATGTTGAAAACACTTTTAATATTCGAACATTGAAAGTATTACACAATTTTATTGTTACATACATTGACTTACAATTATATGGACGTCGGGTCCGCGCTAAAAAGTGTCCGCACTTGTAAGGCGCTAAAATCGATTACAGAGCGCCAAACTCCGCTTTAGTCTTCATTTGTTCGACTGACAGCGCGATACTGCGATGACATTACAATTTAAATTTCGAATAGGTTGACTTGGGACATTTTTTTCGTGGTTTTTGTATTAGACCCGTCGTCCATTTATTTGTAAGTCAATGGTTACATATGAGATTTCATTTATAATAAAAGAAAATCGCACGGCGCGTGGGACGCGTATTGAGGATTCCGCAATCTTGACTTGCGGTACCAAGCGCGAGAGGCGAGGAGGCGGTGGTGTCCGATCAGCGTCGACAGATGACGAGCGCGGCAAAATTTTGCCCGCTTCGACTACGGGTTAATAGATAGTTTCCCTAAGTCATCCCTACCAGTGGGCGCTGAAGGGTCCCTCGAGGTTCGAAAGCAACACAAAAAACAGCTTGAATTATCTATATAAGCTTCTCTACATTTATATAATTTTTTTCCTTGCGATTTTTGTGTTAAGTTAATATAATAATGATCTCACTCTCTAATAAAAAACCGACCTCAAAAGTACGTGAAATTACATATATTTGCCAAGTTTTATTGAAATATCCCCTAGTTCGCCACTATACAGGACTTGACACAGGAGATAATAAAAATCGGTTCTCACTACTCAAAGTATTTTGAAAGAGAAGAACACCTTGAGATAGAGAATAGCAAAACCAACCATTAAAATAATTGCTCCTTGTAATGAAATTTAGGCGCTATTAATAAAAATGAATCTTCATGCGTGAACAGCCCCCTTAGAGGTGGATGATTTTCTTCAAAATTAATGGGACCGCTATGGAGGTACCCTCTTTCCAACAAAAATAGAATCATGGAAATCGGTTCACAAATACCGGAGTTATTGCGTAACATACATACAAAAAAAACAGTCGAATTGAGAACCTCCTTCTTTTGAAGTCGGTTAAAAATACGTGTTGTCAATTATTTTTTGTAGTGGTGGATGTTGAAATTTTTTCATCTTGACTGGTTGAGCGGTGAGCCAAAAAGTGTCGGAACGTACGGGTTATTACGACTCAATAGCAATGTTACACATGTGGTTTTATTATATCAAAGGCACAGGATTACCAGAAAAGTTCGCTTATATGAATTGCTTACCTTGTTTCGTCTATTTCTTTTCAGAAAATGGAGAATCAGATAAATTAAATGGTGAACCGTTACGCAAGGATGCTGAAACCATGGTGTCTTTGGAGAGGTTGCACATGATCACACGATATAATCCTCTGGGATCGCTGCACTCGTTGCCAAGAGGTTCGCGGGCTAGGGTAAGTTTCAGAGTCTCGTAGAATTTATTACATAGGTCTAATTGTTCTGACACACGTATGATAATCTTAAAAAGCTATTGACTTTTGAGCTTGACATTTCCGAGAATTACTGCTAATTGTTATAAAAAGTAATGGTTTTGTGTGAACTTTTTTGTATATAGCATAATGATAATTAGAGAGAGATTGTGCGAGAATTTTCCGGAAGATGCGTGCCTTGTTTTTTGGTTCGTATCTATACTCTAACCAAAGTAGACATAGAATGTTAAAACGTTGCTAGGCTACTAATGATGGCATAGGAGAAGAAAATTTTTTGTCAATGCCCCATATTCAATCTGCCCACAGCCTGCTCGCATAGGTATTTGGAATTTAAATAGGTAATTGCGTTATGTAAAAGAATGCTTAGTACCTGTTGATACGCATGATTTATGAATAAATTTTTTATACCTAAGAATAATTACTGCTAAAAAGTAGGTAACGGTCGATGTAAAGAATTAAAATTGTAAGATTTTATTTTATGTTAATTTATTATATATCTGATTCAGCATCAATTTCCGATTCTAAACTTCAGTTTGTTACTCGCTAATGTGTATGTTTGAGTAAAAGTGTGTATGTGCATGTGTTGAGTGTGTGTGTGTGTGTGTGTGTGTGTGTGTGTGTGTGTGTGTGTGTGTGTGTGTGTGTGTGTGTGTGTGTGTGTGTGCGCGTGCGTGCGTGCGTGCGTGTGTGTGCGTGTGTCGCGCGCGCGCCAATTATGCTCACATTACGACTTTGTGGCAGAAATAGTAAACGTCGCTATACTACCCTGAACGAACAGGTTATAATAAACAGACGTTATTTTCAAATTTCAGCTGTCCCAAGGCGACATAAACGATCTCTGTCGAAGCAGAAGCGGCAGCAACAGCCAACGTCGATGCAGTAACATCGAGATATCTCCCAAGACACCCCAAGGTTCCAGCTCGAAAGTGGATCTTCTCCGATCAGCTCTTGAAATCAGTCACCAACACGGGAAGACGCATAACAATGTATCCAATCCTGTTCTATCGAATTCTAGCCGTCCCAGTCATTATAAAGTAAGTATTTCCCCGAAGACATAAACAAAAAAATGTTAACAAAAGAGAATTAAAAAAAACGTGGTTGATCACTCAAGCGTGTTTGCTATGTTCCTGGCATATCTTTTTCGCTTCATCATTTTCGTATCAATGTTTTCATGCACGTTCTTTTATTCTCGAATTTCTGAACTGATCTTTTCTCGAAGAAGAAGAAGTTAGAAGAATTTACAATCGATGGTGGCTTTCTGAAGTAGTTTCTACCGCAAAATTTCCGCAAAAAGCAACGTACAAAAAGAGTAGAAAGACAAATGAAAAAAGGGCGTAAGCAACTGTGGATTGATTGGGTGTAGCTCTGGTATAGTAAGACAACCTGAGAAAAAATTGTTTTTTTTTTTATTAAATAATATATTTCAATTGTTAGTTCTAATATAAGTCGTCCATATAAAAAGGATTTATCAATAATAACTGAAAAATAATTGAATATCATGGTAGTAAAACATCGTGGTATTTAATGAAATTAATAATGTTTTTTGTTAGAATTATCCCTTATTCAACAGCAATTTCGTACTTTAGCCTCTACTATTATGTAATAATAAATTAAGGTAAATTGTATAATGGACATATAGAGCTTCAACCATGTTATATCGTGGCTTATGAGTTTTTAATCTGATATAATAACTCTTAATACCTTAGTGTTATAGGTCAGAAATTACTTATAATATTTTAATAAAATTTTAATTTACACAGTACAACAGTAATAGGTGACAAAATACATACAAATTATGGTTATACACTGACAAAAAACATTGGACAGGCCATCAATCAGTTCCCAAACTAAGGTAACCCTGTACTTTGGGAGCTGATGACGATCCTCCGCCAGTAAACAAAATTACAAATATTTTACAACCGGTTATGAAGACGTGTGTAGCGTAGAATAGTAATATATAGAAATAAAAGTAGTAGTAGTAAATATAAGTATTATACCTACATAGTTATTGTACCTATATAGTTTGTGCTATTTTACAGCAGAAATCTTTTTTTTTTTCTATTTATTCATTATGATTTTTGCAAACACTGATACATACAAATACCAAGTTAAGGGGAAAGCGTCAAACAGTCCAATTATATTAACACAATTTTTACGGTTTCATCATAAGTTTGTGTGTGTAGCCATTTAAATAATTTCTTTTTGATCTCAAGTGCACATAAGGTATATATATTTATTTTTTTATGAAGTTTGTTTTAAAGAAATGAGCTGAGAGCATAGAATTCACGACTAACAAATGCTGTTCGACAAGGTACATTGAGGCAAACTGGGTAGCTAGATCGTCTATGTAGGATCAGGGGGTCGAGAGGAAGGGTAGAAGGCGCCGGAGAATAGCCCTCTGGATAAAGAGTTGTCTCACAGATAGCATCCCACATTTAGAGTATTATGTAGCAGTAGGGAAATACCTTCACTTGTAGAACATGATTTTTAATTTCGTCCTCTGGGCTCTCTCAAGGACTATTAAAATTGTTTTGTAGATTATGAAACAACGTGAGCGTAATCAGGCAGTCTCGATATTAGATACGTGACTGTGTCCGCAACGACGCTCATACGTACTACGTAATTACGTCAGTTTCACGATGAGAGTAATGTCAAGTGTTTTGACGTTTCGGAGTAAGGACTTATGTCAAATCACGGTCTTCGTACGCGTTTCGTGGTAGCCTCTTGTCCGATACGAAACTAAATCGATGATCATTGCTTCGTACTTCGTGGTAGACCTCTTGTTTATAGTAATTTACTTTTATTATATTCAATTTTAAACATATTGGCGTCTATGAAGTCGATTTTGACGGGTAGGGAGCTGAAATTTGTTAAAAATTGAATTATCAGTCATAGATTATAGAACTCATAGTCATGTTGTGCATCAGGCTATACAACCTAAATATTAAACTCTGTTTACAGTTCTTCAGCGACCGCGCCAATTATTATACAACTTTCTATGGGAAATTATTTAATGCCCCTTAGTGCCCTCGAGATAAATAAAAATTATATACAGCTAAAATAAATAGTTTATCCAGGGGTGTCCTATCACCACGCCAGTTTCAGGCACCAAGCACTAATGTGAGCATTGTTGCGTTTTGAAGGGTAAGGATGCTGGTGTTGGCCGTGGGACTTGTCATCATTATGTCTCAGGAGACGGGTGTAGTGGCGGTGCCTCTCAGAGCTTTGATATTAAAGTTCTGAGTGGCATAGCAACCGTCACGGGTCCCGTCACTTGATAAAAAAAAGAATTTACGCTTGCGCTTCATGTTTCAGCGCTATTTAAATGTGGTAAGTTAATTATTTATACAAGCCAATTCTACAAGCCGTGGTAGCCTAATGGTTTGACCTACCACCTCTCAAGCAGAGGCCGTGGGTTCAAATCCGGACTCGTACTTCTGAGTTTTTCACAAATTTATGTATGCGCGAAATTTAATTTGAAATTTACCATGAACATATCCAAACCTTCACATCGAAGAATGTTCACAACCCTCGGAAAACTTGAGAAGTCTTCAACCCGCATTGGGCCAGCGTGGCGGACTATTGCCTAAACCCTCGCGTGAAAGGAGATCCGTGCCCAGCAGTGAGACGTAGAAATGAGTTCATGATGTGAATTATATATAATTGAAATTAATTTATTTGTGGCTCTTTCCATAACCTTACTTACAAAAGATAACAGAACCAAAATAAGTATACTGTCATTGTGATTTGTACCCGGTCAGACATACAAACATATTAAATGATTAAACATACGAGTACATAATAGGCACGCCTTTGGATTCCTATTGGGTTGGGCAGATAATATTGATTGTTGTATTGCACGATCCTGACAAACTTCTCTTGCTTTACTTATATTTATCAATATTTTCATACAATCTCTCTTTTTCTTCTCACATTAGCTTATTTCAATATTCTCGATTTGATTTCGGATCGACCTTGCGTTTTAAATTAATTCAGAATAATAAATCAGAAACTATACTAGGTTCGAAGTGATTTAGGTCAATTATAATTGTAAAATTATACCTAGATATCAAAACAAAAAAATTCAAGACAAAAAAAATGTTATTTAGGATGAGCACTGAAGACCCGAAAGGTGAGAATCTGGTCAATAACGTCTTTGTAAATCAAGAATCATATTCCAATTTTGGTCAGGCAATAGCAGACGCATCGAAGTTATCTATATAACTCAATATTTACGGGTAATGTTTTTAACAAAGAATTTTTAATCGAAGTTCTTTAATTATTTACTACACCTCTTTTTTATTTGACTTCCATTACTTTTTAATCGTATAAGAACTGGTGCTAATTCTAAAAGAATATCGACTTGTATGAAACCATTGTGCCTTCTCATATACAGGCTGTAACAGTTAAGTGTCCCCAGGGGATTATTAAGTAAATATATAAGGGATCTCAAAACCCTTTTAATTGATATCGAGTGTACGTTACTTTATGAGTAAAACGTCAACAACAACTTTTTAAAAATAAAAATATTAAAAATAATAATAAAAATGTTTTTATTCAATTAATAGTTAGTTTATTTATATACATATATATACAGTTTCGTTATCAGTTACCTTTTAAAGTCAGGAAGCTAAAGTCTCTCTGTGAATATTAAATAAATAGGCGCATTTAGCGTTACAATTTTGAGCATACCCAGTTTTATTTTAAAAAGTGATTCATGTAGTTTTACTCATTAGGTTAAGTACTTTCGATATCAGTTTAAAGGTTTTTGATACCACATATTTGCGGAATTACCGTTGGGCACACTTAACGATTAAACACTGTACATTATTTTACCGTTGTGATATTTTTATTGCGAGTGGAGTTTAGCAATAGGTATCTACATAATTTGTTTCTTATGAGAAGCGTCTCATCTTTGATATTATTCTTACAGTTCACACACAGCGCCCCAAAGTTAAGTCAAAGGAATAATATTTCCCAACCAGTTCTGACTGAATACGATACACGCCGGCGAGATTCTATTCCAGAAGAGGCCGAGGAAGACCGCCTTGTAGCAGCCAAGAATGTTAAACCTGCCAAAACAAAAAGCGATCACCTAAGACCTCCTCCAAGTTATGACGAAGTGATAAGCGAACACAGGAAAAGCTGGCACTCCGATGATAGTACGCCTGCATAAACTTTGGGCATAGTAAAACAGACCCTATTTTTACGTCTGTTTAAGGTAGTTGTTTTCTAATATCGACTTAACATTTTTTTTTTTAAGAAAATGGAGTTAGTATTAATACTGATATGTAATGTAGTTATTTTTCGTCACTGTTAGATCACACCGTCTCAAATATAGCAAATAAAAAACTATGTACTGTAAATATTAAGAAGGTATTGTGAATTCTACAAAATTATTGGATATGACGTAATACAGTGCTTTTATAAGTGAATTTGAATATTTGTTAATCCATTTTTGTACATTTTATACGTAATCTTGATCTGAAATGTAGTTCGGAATAGAAAGCAAAAAAGGCTTTAATTTATTTAAGTTGTAGATAGAAATTTCTGTAAAGTACATTAATCTTTATGAACTATGTTTTTTTTTATTATTCTTTTACTAATATTATTTATATATTGTACCCAAAAGTCACACAAACAATTTGCTTTAGATATCGTCTTTGATTATATATAATAATAATTTATTGTAAATAGAAACACGTTATATGGCTTGATTACTACTTCACGGGTTTTATACAACAGAACAGTGTCTAAGGTTGTGGTGCTACTTCCACCTATGGTATGCCTCTGTTTCACCGAAGGTGCGACCTATACCTAATACTGTACACAAAATCGAGCTTATTACGTCCAGCGCGTTTTCGGCTCCTAATGGATTTTAAGCTCTTAGTTTAATAGGCGTTTTGAAATAAAAAAAGACCTGTTCAAAAATTCACTTTAATAAAAAAGTCGTGTCCATTTTCATAAGCTCTAATAAATAAGTAAATTACATATAAACTATGCTACAACACATGAAACTACATCTCAAGGTCATGAAAATGGCCATGAATTTACATCTAACATTAGCACTAGCATGTTAATAAATGCACTGTAGAAATATTCGTTTATATACTTACATTAAAAGTACATTAAAAAATTACATAATTTCATATATTTATAAACAATAATCACGCAGGTCTGGCGCAGCTGTCAACTTGAGTCGGTCCTTACTTTGAATTGTTTAGACACCCATTATATCGAAACAAAATGCGCGCAGGTCCTGCCTAAGCAACATCAATTTGCTGCATAAGGGTTTTAGAGCGAATCAATTATTTTCTAAGCCGATAGAAATATCGGCTTAATGCAGCAGCCCTAACATCATTAGGCAAAATATTATGCACTCTCCGCATTTCAACTGCATAACAGTAGCATAATAGTGTTTTGAAGAGCTGCAACAATCGCCACACTAGAGCGTACTGCTGGCGCTACTTTTAGGAAAAACTTATCGATGAATGAGTATACGTTTTACAAGTTACCTCTGTTATAGAAATTTTAGTAGCAAAATAGTGACTATTGTATATTACACAGCTACTCTACAATATAAAGTATACAATTAACTCTTCTATACAGTTCAGCCGCTCGAGAGACGAGGTCGTATGAAGATTTTTATTTTTTTGTTTGTGATTTGTGATATTGATGTTAATAATGAATAGTACAGGTTCTATAATGAATTAGTGCAAGGTCAAAAGTGGTATTAGTATTTCATATTGCCGATTTAATTACTAATGCAAACTATGCCCGAATGCGGAAACAATTATGCAACTTAGTCTATAATCTACACATTAACAAATAATTGGAATAAAAATTTGCTTTTGGGCGACTTCATTATTTTTTTGGTTTGTACCTAATTGACAAATCCTCCTGACGTATCGCGTCGTATAGCTAAAAAAATTATATTTGGACTGATTCCAAAAATTAGTTAAATTTACACCTTGTTGTAATTGTCCGGACAATTCCTCTGGTCGGTTCTCATGAAGTAAGCTCGGTTGATGTTATTTTTATCTGCGGCCATATATACTTTTTCCAACGTTGCTAGCGGCGGATTTCTCTCTCTAGTCAGGATCCAAGCATTGCCTGTATAGGAAAAATATTTGCACGTAAAAAATAGTAATAGGTTAATGTTCAATATGTTTATATGTATTCCACAATGATATACAAGGTGTGTTACATAGTAGAAAGATCACATCATGGACTCTCTCGGGCATAACTAAGTAGAAAGGAAGAAAGTAAGTGGGTTGTTTTAAAAATACCTTTTAAAAGTAACCTTTCTGGAATTCATTAATATTATAATAACATTTATTTAATTATTAATAAGTATTTTAGTTTTAAAAATATTCCATCATTAGTTTCGTTTTTCAGTACATCAGGCACAGTTTGTTATAAATTTTATGGGCACGACGCATGAGCTAGACCATTAGTTCCCAAAGTGGTCCAGGTGGACCCTCAGGGGTCCACGGGAGACTCGACTGGGATCTACGTTGGCGTGACAAAAAATAATATGGATATAGAATATGGTAGAAATGTAGCTGCAGGGGGTCCACCGAAACCAGCTAAATTTTGAAAGTGGTCTATGAGAAAAAATGTCTGGGAACCTCTAGGCTAAACGAATGTAGACTTAATCCAGATATAGGAAGCATTAATCTGTTTTTGCGACACATTAAATGTTTGGTTGGAATGTCTTGTCGGCGTTTAAAAAATCTGGTTTTTACGAACAAATTTACAAATGTCAGAGGTATATACCGAAGTGAGGTCGGCAAGTATCTGTTTCTTGAAGGTTTGCTATTATTCGAGTAAGATTTTTCGCAACGTAAATAAGCATGGTGCTTCAGTACTATTCTCCCACACAGTAAGTCGAGATATCTTAGTAACGATTTTTGTACGTGTTTTTTTCCAATTGATATGTTTATCGATAGGTATCTAGTTCTAGTACAGTTGGTTCTTTGAAACTTATTCAATATGCAATCATTAGTTTTGTTTTTGTGAAATTAAATTTACAAATTGTGTTCTTGTACACACACCCTAACAGCATTCATAATAAAGGTTAGTTGTTTTGATAGATTTGTATTGTTCACATTTTGTTAAAAGTGAAATATCGTCGGCGCACAAGACACAATGTTCATTAATAAATTTTGGTAAATCATTAATATGGATCAAGAATAAATTTATTAATATTTATTAATAAATATAATTAAAATTGAAAGTCAAATAACCTGCCTTCCACAACAAAATTACTCAGGTTGAAGAGGCCCTACGGTATAATACAAATTACGAACTTGTTTTGATGTTTAGAAATGGTTTTATTTCGTTACGCTTTTATAGTGTTTGTACAACCAAACTATAATAGAATAATTTTAAATTTTTATTGAATTAACATTCAATTATTTTTTTATGAAATTACTCCACAACTCTCCAACAATAGTTTGTTATAATTATTAATACAAAGATCGAACACTCAGAAAAAATTCCTTCGATCCGGCCGGATTCGAACCTACGTCTTCGTGCATACCGTGCCAGACGCTATAGTAACTAAGACACGGAACGAACCAGCGGACCTGACGGGTTTTCTATGTGCTTGTTGTCGTATCTTTGAGTTTGGTTTTTCAACGACTTTTTAGTCGTAGCGCCATCTATGACAAATCTATGAAAGATTTATAATAGAATAAGTTTAGTATGTAATTATTCTCAAATGAGAAATCATGAGTAAATTCAATTAAACGTAGGTCAGCGGCGGCTGCTTCAAAATGATCGTGTTAAAGTGCCTACATCAATTCTGCTTGAGTTTTATTTGAAAAATACGTCTGTGTGAATTTAAGTCTCATAGAGTTCTTAAGTTTTCGCGATTGTTACACACATGAAATGAAACTATTTTACGGAATCTAAATCATGTTTTTTTTTAAGAAACAAACGTTTCGGGTCCAGTACAACCTGTACTACCCATATGGTCACAGTTGGTTGTTTGGAAAAACAAATATATACGCGATTTGGATCCTAAAAAATGGTTTCATTTCATTCAGTTGTGGCGCAAATGATCTCATTCAGCTTATGTCGTAGTCATAATTAGGCTGTGGCGTTAGTTTTCAAAGACCCCTACGCCGAAATGAGTGACATCCGTTACACTATACCGCAGTAAGGAACGGCCGCCACCTTATCACGAACATATCACACTGACTCTACATTTAAATTCAGTATCCATTAATGTAATATAATTCTAGTCTTAACAACTTACGAGTATGGAAGAACCCGAAGTCGTAGCAACTCCATACAAGAGCATAGTTATCATAGTCGGTATCGACAATCCAGTACGGGGCAGCGAAGTTGACTGGCAGAGACGGAAACCTGACTGAGAGTTTCCCTTCATCAGAACGGCTAACTTGGTTTGCTTCTCCTTGAATCTCTGATTGGATACCAGTGCTGAAATCATTGACATTGCCAATTATTGTTAGGCTTTTGTTGAAGTTGACTCATTCAACCATCAGCCGATAATTTGTTTACCTAACAAATTATGGGTTTTTCATATGGCGGATAAGTCACGTTTTCAACTCTGTGTTAGGCACACGTCAGTGATTAGAGTGATTACTGATTAGTGTAGATTTTTTTTTATAACGTCAAGTGACAAGACGAACAAGTCGTGCGCCTCATGGTAAGCTACACGCCTGTCCATAACAGTTACAGTGCCACTCAGATCTTTAAATTGCAAAGATCTAAGGTGCACTATCACTGTGCCCGTCACCCTGAGACATAAGTTAACAAGTCCCATGTGCCTGTAATGTCACCAACACAGTTACCCGTCAAAACAGGAACACAGTAATGCTGACACTACTGCTTGGCGGCAGAAATAGGTAAGGTGGCAGTTCTACTCTTGACGAACTCTTTCACAAGGAGCTCTACTGCCACTAAAATGAGACTTTACAAAGTGAGGTTGTTAGTGTAGTGTGCAATCCTGCATTATGTTACTTTAATATAATATTTTATGCATTACGGTAAGTGTAATTAATATGATAAATGTTAATAATAACCAGTCGTTATTATAATTACCTCATGATTTCGTCAAAGTGACAAAAACTGTGAAATTCATCACTTTTACCCATTGACTTACAATTATATGGACGTCGGGTCCGCGCTAAAAAGTGTCCGAACTTATAGGGCGTTAAAATCGTATACAGAGCGTCATTCACGTTTTAGTCTTCGTTTGTTCGACTGACAGCGAAGCAAGCAAAATTAGACAGTACTGCGATGACATTACAATTTAAATTCAACGTTTTAGCTTTTTCATATTCCTTTACATGTCACTACGTTTAAATAGGTTGACTTGGGACATTTTTTTCGTGGTTTTTGTATTAGACCCGTCGTCCATTTATTTGTAAGTCAATGCTTTTACCGGTTGTTTTTAATAATCATCGAGTATATAACCAGAAATAGAGACGAAATAATATATTCCTGGTAACACATTAGCGATACAGCTCTTATAAATATCAACTCCCGTTTGCATTGAAATATAGACAGCAAATTACCAAAGAAAGTAGTAAAGCATTAGCTTTACTACTTTCTTTGGTAATAGTAATAAAACTCGCCAGTACTATTGAAATTGGAAAAGCAAAGGAATTGGGTTCTGGCACTCGCCGGCCGCTGCCGCGCCACGTTCGCTTCTCTTGCTCCTCTCTCGGCTCGTGCGGCTTTTTCATATCGACTCATCCGAAGAACAGAGTCCGATGTGATTATACAGCGAC